CACACACACACACACACACACACTCTCTCTCTCACACACACACACACACACACACACACTAAGGTTCTGAATGAAATTGAAAAGGTATTTTAAATAAAAATTCAAACCATGAATCTGAATTGCAATAGCAATTCAAAAATGCAGAAATTACAGGTTCTGCAATTAAAATTTTAAACAGTGGAATTTAGAATGAAGTCTGTAGAAATCCATATAACTCTTAAGAATCTATTTTTAATACATTTCATTTTTCAGTATGACTTACTTTAAATACTAAACACATTATTATACACAATATATGGTTTACAAAATCATTAGTTGATATACAGTAAATAATTAATGCCAGCTATAAAAAGAAAGAATATTCATACAAATATTATATCATTGTGTTTTGTATATTTAACTGTATCATTGCATTTTATGTAATATATTTATGATTTAATACATATTGTTATATATATATATATATATACAGTGGGTACGGAAAGTATTCAGACCCCCTTAAATTTTTCACTCTTTGTTATATTGCAGCCATTTGCTAAAATCATTTAAGTTATTTTTTTTCCTCATTAATGTACACACAGCACCCCATATTGACAGAAAAACACAGAATTGTTGACATTTTTGCAGATTTATTAAAAAAGAAAAACTGAAATATAACATGGTCCTAAGTATTCAGACCCTTTGCTGTGACACTCATATATTTAACTCAGGTGCTGTCCATTTCTTCTGATCATCCTTGAGATGGTTCTACACCTTCATTTGAGTCCAGCTGTGTTTGATTATACTGATTGGACTTGATTAGGAAAGCCACACACCTGTCTATATAAGACCTTACAGCTCACAGTGCATGTCAGAGCAAATGAGAGGTTCTTAAGGTTCCTAAGAGCACAGGGGCCTCCATAATCCTTAAATGGAAGACGTTTGGGATGACCAGAACCCTTCCTAGAGCTGGCTGTCAGGCCAAACGCAGATTGAAGCATAAAGTGCTCCAAAATCTCCTGGTAGACGACTGCATTGACTTTGGACTTGATAAAACACAATGGACCAACACCAGCAGACGTCACGGCACCCAAATCATCACTGACTTCAGAAACATCACACTGGACTTCAAGCAGCTTGGATTCTGTGCCTCTCCAGTCATCCTCCAGACTGCAGACCTTGATTTCCAAATGAAATACAAAATGTACTTTTGTCTGAAAAGAGAACTTTGGACCACTGAGCAACGGTCCAGCTCTTTTTCTCCTTAGCCCAGGTAAGATGCTTCAAACTCAAATATAAATATTCTAATATTTTGAGATACTGGATTTTTGACTTTCATGAGCTGTAAGCTCTGATCATCAAAATAAAAAAAAAAACGTTTGAAATGTTTTGCTTTACATGTAATGAATCTAGAATATATGAAAGTTTAATTTTTTTAAATAATAACTTTTTCATGATATTCTAATTTTCTGAGATGCACCTGTGTGTGTGTGTGTGTGTGTGTGCATATATATATTATATATATATAATATAATATATAATATATATAATATATATATATATATATTATATTATATATATTAGATTTATAATCAAATTTTATACATCTACTATCTGAAGATTAAAATGTAAACACTATAAGACATTACAGTATATACTGTATTATAAATTCAAGTAAACTAATTTCATAAATTCATTTTTAAAATATCTACTAACTAGGGGTATTAAATATAAATATTGTGTGTATGTATGTATATAATGTATATATTTGTATTGTACATGTAGTTTTTAATGTATTCATTCGACTTTGTGTATTTTGGCCAATTCAATTCAAATTCACACTTAAAATCAGTATTTTGTGCAACCCTGACACATAAATACAAACAATACACAACAGCAGACACATACTCTGGACTTCGAGCTGTCCATGCCCAGCTCCACGTCTTTTTTCAGGCGGCGCGGGTGACACCGGAGCAGGTTGACCAGTCTCTTGATACACAGATAGAAGGACTTCGGGCTGGGGACGATGCTGAATGGAGGCGGGAGAGTCTTGCCATTGTCAAAATACGAGAGCCAGAGTTTAGACCGAGCGAACTTCCACTCCACATCTGCATCATCCTGCAAGAAACAAACGGTTACATACTGTATAAAACTATTAGAAATACCCCCCGCCCCGCAAAAAAGGATAACTTTTTACATTTTTTTTTGGATAAATAAAAATGTTTGATAATATAATGAGAGATTTTTAAAAAGGCCAGCCATTTTTGACCAGGAAAACCGATTTTCAGCACGGCAAGGGTTAAGCTGAGCTTTAGTGTTGTATAAGAATTACATTTTCGGTCAGCAATAGATGCTAAATGCCTCTTCTCCAGAAATCTGATGTATGGGCCATTTGCACAAGTATAATTGCTCAGTGAGAGTCAAAACCTCTTCTAAGAGTCCTTCTGAAAATGACAGTCATTTTAACAGCAGCGTTATCAAAAGCCTCAGACATAATTTTCTCCCAGGGGACTATTGGAAACACAGAGGACAAGTTTGATCTGATTCCAGATGTATTTTTGGCAAAGAAAACTTTAAAGTCATATATGAAAATTAGCTGAAAATGTACTCACCTTTAGGCCTTCAAAGATGTAGATGAGTTAGTTTCTTCATGGGAACAGATCTAAAGAAATTAAGCATTACATCACTTGCTCACCGATGGATCCTCTGCGGTGAATGGGTGCCGTCAGAATCAGAGTCCAAACAGCTGATAAAAACATCACAATAATCCACACAATTCCAGTTCATCAATTCATGTCTTGTGAAGTGGAAATATGAGTAAATAATCCATAATAACCCGTCCTCCAGTGAAAAGGTCCATCCTCTGTTTCTCTTTCATCAAAATCCACTGAAACGTCTGTATAGAACTGTTTTGGACTGTTTTTGATTGTAAACTGTGCTTGATCTGTTCATATTTCTCTCCTGATTCAGACAAGGCGACTTTTTTACTGGAGGAAACAATATTATGGATAGAAATAATGTTCAGTTTCTTGCACAGATCAATGGTTTAGCTTCAAAAGACCTCAATGTGTCATCAGAAGCCACGGGTATATTTATTTGGTGTTCCTTAATATGCTTTATTCTCAAAGACAGGCAGTCGCTGACATTTTATCAATCACAAAAGACCATAGTTTTAGCTAAAAATCTTCTTAACTGTTCTACTCAAGAAAAAAGTAATTTTGGGTAAACTATTCCTTTAAAAATGTCTTGATGGATTTGTTTATTACAAACACAGTTTTCACTTCACAAGATGTTAATTAAATCTCGACTGGAGTCGTGTGGATTATTGTGATGTTTTTATCAGCTGTTTGGACTCTCAATCTGACGGCACCCATTCACTGCAGAGGATCCATTGGTGAACAAGTAATGTAACACTGAATTTCACCAAATCTCTTCCAATGAAGAAACAAAAAAGGGTAATCAAAAAGGTTTCCCTAAGAACCACTGCTGCGAAAACCCTCTTTTTGAACCTTTATTTTTAAGAGTGTGTATTTTTTTTCTTTTTATTCACCTCTCAATCACAGCTTTTTAAATCTTGATTATGATTAGCTTGTTCTTAGGTTTAATTTTGGCACAAGTATCGGTGTTAGCGATCTCACGCTCAAACTGTATGCAAACTCTTAACTCAAGTGAAATTCTCTAAATAGTGCATGGGAAGATAGCTCACCTCTATTTCCTGGTATGAGCTGTTTATCATGGCAATAAGCATGTTGAGCAGAACCACCACCATGGTAACATTGTAGATCCCGTACAGCACATAGCCAATGTTCTCGATAAATTTATGATCGTATTTCAACACCACAGAAGACACCTCAGACAGCCCGAATATGGACCAAAAGAGAGTTTTAAAACTCTCCTCAACCCTGTTAACACACACAAGAGGGAAGAGAGTGTTTAAAGTCAACATGAAGTGTCCGTAACCCATTTTACATTTTTGTTTCAGTAATTGTGTGTATGTCCTTCAAACTTGCTTATAGTGGTTGGTGAGAGTAAAAACATATGATCTGCTTATTTTTCCTTTGAATGCACATCAGATCAATTATAATAAGTAACTTTTAAGTAAAATCTACAGGTGCTCTATACAATCAGATGAGATCTTCTGGGAAAGCAAATGTCTAGAGACTAGCAATGCACATCTGCTTTACATCCCTGGAGATCAGCTGTGAAAATGAACATCCTCCACTCACAAAGACGCAAGAATGATGGGATTGATGAAACAACTCCAGACTTGAATCTCAGGAGTCTACTGTGAGTACATATAGTACACACTCACACACACACTGCAACGTGATCTCATGATAATTCTTATGTATTTCACATAAAATGTGGTTCTATAAAACGTACATTTACTTAAGTTTTTACAGGCAATAAAATGTACAATACTGACATATTTTCAACATCTAAACGTACAAATACTTACGTATTTTCAGCATTTAAACGTACAAAACTGACGTATTGTCGACACCTAAAAATAAATCCTTATGAATATTGAAATCCCAACATTAATTTTATTATTATTGATGTTTTTAGTTGTCATATCAATGACCTTGTTTTCAATTCCATTATTAAATTGTTTACTCGTTTACTTAATATGAAATTATAACATTTCGTTCTGTTCTGTGATTTCTGCTGCCAGCTCGTTTCCAAGAATAGGCCTACATAATGTTAAACAAGACTACACTTTAAACCCTTAAAATAAATTTCATTTCTGCAGTCGTTTAACCTTTACTTGTCATGTAATGTTTACTTTGTTTGCCATGGGCCACAAAAGGCGTTTTCTCCGACATGCTTTGACTAACAATAGAACTATAAAATACACCAAAAAACTCAACATTAGAGAGGGAGTAAAACCTTTGCATGGCAGGGGCAGCTGCCACTTGACCTGTCACCGCTATGTGCGCCTGCCAGTGGCAGCTGCCACGCAAAGATTTTATCCTTACTACAACATTATTACGAAATGAAACAATTTTATTAGTGCCCTGTAATCCAAATCTTCCGAATCCATACGATTGCGAGGAACAGACCAAAATCCAAGCCTTTATTTGGCGATCCTCATCTACATTCCAAGCAGCAAGTCCAGTGACCGTAAACTGCAAAGCTTGCACTGACTGACGCGCTCGTTACAAATTCAAATGTTGCCGCTTCAAACGACAGGTTTTACAGCAGGATAATTGAACGCTCATTGGCTCTCGCCTGCATTCGTCACAGATTGCGAAATGTCATGTTTCTGGTGAGGTGTGTTTGAATGATGCGTGTGCACCTTCATGAGTTCTCGGAGTGGATCGGGAAAATAATCTGGATAATATTTTCAGCGATTAACAACTTAAATTCTGCTCTGCACCTCACACAGACCTACTGTATTCCGCCAGAGAGGACTGTGGCTGCAACGCATCATCATTTGGATTACTTTTGGCACATGCTTTTGACATTTTTGCAATAAATAAATTATTGTAATTGCATTTATCTGTCTGTCATGTTTTTCTTATACTGTAACAGAAATATTTATGTTTAGGTTTAGAGGTAGGAGTGGGATTAGCGACTATAAAAATATTTTTAATGCTATATTGTTACTAAATTGGTTATTTTTCTGCATATTTTGGTCAATTGCGTTTTATATCCTTTTAATATTCGCTATAAAATGGGTAAGTTTAGGTTTGCGGGTAGGTTAAGGGGTCTAAAAATCTAAATTGCTTATTGATAAAATGATAAAAATGCATATTCGCTATAAAATTGGTAGGTTTAGGTTTGGCTGTAGGTTAAGGGGTCTAAAAAATCTAAATCGCTTATTGATAAAATTATAAAAATGCATTGATACGACTATCTCAATGATATAAAAGATAAATATTTAAAGTTTTTTAGCTAAAAATACGTAGCGATTTGTATGTTTTAAATGCTGAAATGTCTAAATTGTACGTTTTAGCATCAATAAAAACTTACAAAATGTACGCTTTGTGCTTGTAAATGTTACGTATTAATACCTACGTATAAACAATGAGACCAGGCTGCACGCACACACACACACACACAAGCTGACTTGTAGGATTTATTTAATCACCTCTGACTTGCTGTGAAACAAACCTCATCCCGCTGGAGGCACTCTAGTGTGAAATGAGCTCCAGCACTTGACAGCCTCAAATTTGATGCTGGGAAACCAAGAGTTCATTTCACAGGACTAACACTTTCACTACAGATGCTCTGCCTGACAGACCACAGAGCCTTATTTTGAGTTGAGCAGCCACATGTGGTATATTTATG